GAGGAGGATGAGGAGGAAGACTCTCGTCGCCGACACCGTCGGCGTCTGACCCTTTCAGACGAGGAGGAGCTTGAGGAAGACATGAAAAAGGTTGAAAAGAAGAAAAAGGCGGCAAAGGCAAAGGATAAAGAGGCTACCGAGGAGATTGAAGAGGGGCTGGAGAACAGCAACGACGATGAGTTGGACGAAGGCTTGGCTGAAAAGCTCGAGGCTGAGAAGGAAGAGGAGGAAGCTGAAGTCGAGGAAAAAATGGATGAAGATCTGGAAAAGATTCAGGAGCAGGAGGAGGAAGAAGACGAGGAAGACAAGGTAGAAGCTCCGGCAAAGAAAAAGTCCTTCAAATCCTCTAAGAAATCGGAGGCTGAAGAGGAGGCTGAGGAGGAGGCTGAAGAGGAGCTTGAGGAAGAGCTGGAAGAGATTGAGGAAGAAGAAGAAGCTAAGAAATCCAAGAAGGCGTCCAAGAAGTCCAAAGCAAATGACGAGGATGACGAGGAGGAGGAAGACACCCGTCGTTATCTCCGGCGTCTGTCAAATGTCAATGAAGCAGAGGTTGAGGAGGACATGGACAAGGCTAAGAAGGCTGAAAAGGAGGCGAAGGCGAAGGAGGCTGAAGCTGACGAGGATATCGAAGAGGGACTGGAGAATAGCAACGACGATGAAGTGAACGAGGCTAAGGCAGCTAAACGTGCGGCTGAAAAGGAAGAGAAGGAGGCTGAAGAGGAAGAAAAGGCGGATGAGGACCTGGAAGAAGCGGAAATGGAGCAGGAAGAGGAGCAAATGGGTGACGCTGAAGATGGCGAAGAAGAGGAGGAGGAGGAAGAGGATACCCCGGCTAAAAAGACTAAGAAGCCATCTACTACGAAATCGAAGTCGGTCGAGACTGCGCAGGAGTGGGAGCAGGGCGACGATAAGGACGACGAAGCTCCGAGCAAGGCCCCAGCCAAGAAATCAACCAAATCTGCTAAGAAATCCAAGGCTGATGAGGCCGAGGAGGCTCACAAGGAGGAGGAGGAGAAAGAAGAAGCCGAGAAGTCCAAGGAGGTGGCGTCAAAGAAGGCTAAGGCTAAAGCTAAAGCTAAGGCTGACGAGGAAGAGGCAGACGATGATGATGTAGAAGAAGAACAGGCCCCACCAGCCAAAAAGTCCAGTAAATCCCCGAAGAAATCCAAGACAGAACAGGAAGAGTCCGATGATGAAGCTGCAAAGTCTAAAAAGTCTTCAAACAAGGCCAAGACCGACGACGAGACCGAAGACGAGACGGAAGACGAGGCAGAAGACGATGAAGAACAAGCGGCTCCAGCAAAGAAGTCCAATAAATCTGCAACGAAGAAGTCCAAGGCTGATCAAGATGAGGACGACGGCGAAGATCAAGACGAGAATGAGAAGTAATGACTGGGGAGGCTGTGTTTTCAATGTGATGAAACTACTGTAAACAATTTTGCGTTGTTGATGGACGTTTGCTCTTGGGATGTTGATCCGCTATCTACGAATTCATTGTCATTTTGTAAATGTAGCAAACTCTGGTTTCCAAGCGCTTCTACAAAACTATTGAAGTGTACCTAACGTGCATGTACCACAAGGCGGAAATTGAAAAAAGTTGATGCTGTAGTTCCCATCCTCAGACTAATCCTGCTGTTTTTCGAGCAGTAATTGTAGCTGGTGGCACAATTGTAATTTCTGGCCTCTTTTCCACGAATACCTTCGCTTCATTCCGCTATCACCACATAAACATTATTTCAAGAACAAGAGCAGTGTTCCAAATCGACGATACCCTGCATTCAAGAGACCACTTCATTTTTCTAAACGCCGGTAGTGTAGTTCGCTGTTCGACGCAGGCTGAATTTGAAACTCGACCGCTGCAATGAAGCTCCTGCAGGCTTTCTCACTCATGTCCGCGGCGGCGGCGCTGTTGCCGACTGTGCAAGCTTACTCTTTCAACGACTTTGCCAGCAAAACTACCGAGCCAGTCGTCGAGGTAAGCACCGGTCTAACTGCTGACCAGGAAAGCCGCATTATCGGTGGCCTGGACGCGGACATCGACAATTACCCGTACGTCGCGAGTGTACGCATCGATGGTGTAACGGTCTGTGCTGCCACGCTCATTGCGCCTCAATACCTCCTCACAACGGCACACTGCGTCAAGACGGACGAGATTGCGATGACCGCTTCGTTCGATACGGAGTACAGCTTCGGCAATGACGGCGATCAGGTAAAGATCGTCAAAGGATTCAAGCACCCGCTGTACAACAAGAAGAAGAACCAGTACGACGTGGGGCTACTGAAACTGGAGAAACCGAGGAAGGAAAAGCTTGCGGCTTTACCTGCCGCTGACGGTTCGGACGAGAAGGTCGGTGCGAAGGCTATTGTTCTCGGTTGGGGCCAAACAGAGAAAGCTTCCAGTAGCTTTAAACTTCAGCAGGCCAACATTCCGATTATCTCGAATGAGGAGTGCGGCAAGTTCAAGTCGTACAAGAATCAGCTTACGGAAGGTATGCTCTGCGCCGGCAATGGTAAAGGCAAAGGTTCGTGCAAAGGCGACT